CAGACTTTTTATTAAATATCATTATCGTAATATCAACTACAAGACGTCTCCTGTTGTACATCATGAAAATCAACAGCCTACAAGTGGCCACTGCTGACCAAAGGCCTCTTCTCACACAGAGAAGGTTTAAGCATTCACCACGTTTGCTCAATGCGGGTTGGCAATTTCAAACTTATAAATAGAAATTGTAAGCCCAGGTTTCCTCACGATGTTTTCTTTCACAGTTTTCACTTATAAATACTATGCTCTATTCTCTAACAATGTTCTTGTTATCCTTGTCATTAAGAAGTTCTTTAATTGAATAATAGCACTTCTGTAACAGAAACTTAAATAATTTTTTTCTGAATGATGTTAAGTTAAGATTTATTAGGTCATTTGGAAGCCTATTATAAATGACGACTCGATCAACAAGGTAGGTAGCTATTTTCTTTTAATGGGACCAGCCTGCCACAACCACAATTACTGTAAGTCAGGATCAGTAGATACAAGATACAATCATGAAAACATCGGAACACTGAAGTCCAGCGCGTCACAGGGACATGAATAACTGTCTTGGTTCACGCAACGAAGTGAATCAGATGATATTATAGGAGGAGAAGAAAAAAAGCGAATTAAAATTACTTTGGAGACAGGATGAATTAAGCCTAAAGGCACAAAAAAGAGACTGTACAATAATGTAGCTGCATTGCATGCATTAAATTAATATGATGATTATGTCTGATCTTACTCTTTTAGGACTAAACAGCGTTAGATGATCTAAGATATATCATCAAACAGACCCAATAATATCATTAATAGAACTTAATATAATACATACACCAGCACTAAAACCTACACCAATCCATCAAATATCCTTAAGCAATTTTCATCTCTATTCCATGTACATTGAGAGTTCCAAATCTATTGTACAAGTCTGTAAGTGAAGGATAGTTTGAGGTGCATTATGTCTGTCTACTGCGCACCCATCCAAATCAGAGATCCTACGCTTGGCTGCATCAAATTGTGATTCATTATACGTTGACCAATTAATACGTAAGCTGTTTGTAATTATTCTATTGGTTATTATGTCAGTTGTACCATTGATTTGATACTGCTATAGTACTTAGGAATATCATCATCATCATCATCAATAGCTTACATATGCCCACTACTGAGCAAAACTTCCTCTCACACAGAGAAGGTTTGAGCATTAATCTTGCTCAATGCGGGTTGGCGATTACAAACTTATAATTAGGAACTATAAGACCAGGTTTCCTCGCGATGTTTTCCTTCACCGTTTGTCAGTGGTGTCTAGATAATCTTAAAAAGTATTGTAGTACTGTACTGTATACTCTTACTAGCGACCCGCCCTGGTTTCGCACGGGTGCAATATGCATGTATTAAGCTTATAAACCTTCCTTAAGAATTAGTCTATCTATTAAAAAAAACCGCTTCAAAATCGATTGCGTAGTTTTACAGAACTAAGCATACATAGGGACAGACAGACGGCGGATAGCGACTTTGTTTTATACTATGTAGTGACTATGTAATGATAATTATATACATAGGTATATATATACATTTTTTGTCGGTCCCGCTGAAATATACTTAGGGCTAAGGTTTATAAAATTTTTCGCCAATTACATTATTATTTAAAATCTTTTTGACTACTATAATACATACATACGTTATTGATATATTAATTATATCTCGTTTATAGTTTTAATGTTTAAATAAAAAACCGGAATAGTCGCCATTACAAGTTCGAAACTTCTAGCAAAATAACGTACTGTATCAGTCTATATAAATAATTCGCATTGATTTCCGCGTGTCTGTTTATTGTATCGACTACCTTGTTGAGCGAGTTTTGATGACGTTACTGTCGGTCATGACTTAGTGGGTTTTATCTCCGGGTTGGCAAAAGGGAATATTTTTTTTTTGGTCGTAATGAAGAACCTCTGTGGAGGCCCTATCTACCCCGTCTCCGATTCGGAGTCGCGGAGAACTTACGGGTAACCGGGGCTCCGGCTCTACGTGCAGGAGAAGGAACGGGGTGGTTTTTAGTCAGTACTAGTCTGACACTCCTTCCCGCCTCACCCAGGCGGGAGCAGTCATTCGATGATTTTCCCCCCATAAAAAAAATCTACCCCGTCTAATACGGTAGTTGACAGGTACCTAGTCAAATTCAATACTTATATTGAAAGTCAAAAATGATACTTTTCTATGAATTTAGTATTAGATCGCAACTTATGACGTCATAATATTTCTGCGTCAAATAGCATACTTAGTTCCTTAGAATTAGCGAGAAAATATCCAATAGTAGTTAAATTGTCAAATCTATGGATGAGAGTATGATTATTTTTTAATCACCTATTTATTGCATTGAAAAGTTATTTTAAACCTACGAAACTACCTAATTGGATAGCATATAAAATTTTAAGTTAAATGGAGATTTTAAGTGTTAAATTCTTGTCAAATCTTCTGGCATTTATTAATAGGAACCAAGATAACCAGTTTTAAGTTAATAGTCTGGCTTTTACTAAGTATATTTGCTAACTAGAGGAAACATTTGATAAAAACTCTATCTATACTTATAATAAATCTGTAGAGAGGTCAATTCTGTACATAAAATATATTTAAAAAATAACTATCAAGGGGTGGTTAGGGATCGCTACTGATGCCAAAAATGCAATCAGTAAAATTTTTGTCTGTCTGTCTGTCTGTCTGTATGTTCGTTATGGAAACAAAAACTACTCGACAGATTTTAACGAAATTTGGCACAATTATTCTTCATACTCTTGGGCAGGTTATAGTATACTTTTCATTACGCTACGATCACTAGGAGCAGAGCAGTGAAGGGAAATATTGGGAAAACGGGAGAAGTTACTCCATTTTTTAAGCTTCTGTCGCGTGTGCAGGCTTAATAGTTAAAGCTACACAGAAATCATGTATGACAGAAATGTTCTACATAAAATTATCTAAATAATATCCCACAACAGCACATGTCTATCTTATATGGTTGACTTACAATAACACGTGTAACTCCCGATAGCTTAGCAGTTCGGAGCTTTCTGTTTATATTTGTTTACTCTTACGTTTACAATACTCATCCATAGACATGATGCTGTAACTGTAGGGCCGATGGCTGAAATTAGCTTGACTCGATATTATAAATGTGAAAATATGTGAGCTTATGTGTTTGTGTATGTTTGTTACTCAGTCATATTAAAACGACTGAAGGGACCGGAATGAAATTCGGAACAGAGGTAGAGTATGGTGTGAAGGAATACATTGGAAATTTCCCCCTGGAATCACGGGCGAAGCCGCTGGTAGAAGCTAGTACATAATAATTGTTTACATATAAACAACGTTTAAAAAAAACCGACTTAAACCCCCTTATTTTTTTGTACTACTCCTAAATGTAGCAAACACTATAGTAAAAATCGCATCAAAGTCGGTTCAGCCAATCGCGAGAAAATTGCGCACAAACAAACAGGTAAAACGAAGAACCTCCTTTTTTAAGTCTGTTAAAAATAGTTTAGTCTATGTTTAGTAGGTAAATATATATACTTTATTTGGGGGGGGGGGGGCATCCAATGACTTCTCCCGCCTTAGGTTAGAGCGAGAGGGACTGTCAGACTCTTACTGACTAAAAACCACCCCGTTCCTACTCCTGCTCTACGAGCCGGTGTCTCGACAACCCGTTAGGTCTTCCGCGACAGGTTAATTATACTGACAGGTATCAATACTGGCATTAATACATTAATACAACCACGTGGTATGTTATAAATAATTCGTTGAATGTTTTAACCGGTCTAACTAGTGCTTATAGTTGTTATACTACCTAACACACATTTTTAACCGACTTCAAAAAAAAGAGGTTCTGTATTTGATACTGTATGTATGTATGTTTGTGCGTATTAATCTCACGATTGGCTGAACGGATTTTGATGCGGATTTCGGAAAAGTGTTTGCTACACTTACGAGAAGGTTTTAGTAAATGTATGAATAAAGTATAAACCGACTTCAAAAATAGACGGAGTTGAAGTCGGTTTTTTAAAAACATAACATCGCGTGTTTTATCCCCGAAGGGATAGGCAGAGGTGCACATTGTAGAGGTACAATGTAACACCCACTTTTCATTATTTATGTTATGAGTCCCATGTAATAGGGGGTGAGCTTAATGCCATATACCGGGCACAATTTCAGACTCCGTGCTACTACTACTACTGATAATAAAAAAAAAAACCCAGTAATATTTTGCCCGACCCGGGAATCGAAACCCCTGCCCGGCAGCCGCACTTGCGATCACTCGGCCAGCGAGGCAGTCATCGACTTCAAAAATAGAGGGAGTTGAAGTCGGTTTTTGTAGTTGAAGTGTAGTATAGTGGTAGGCGTGGCATGTAAGATCTTTATAAAAAAAAAATATTTGACCATAGAAAGTATGTACTTGTAATATGACAAGGGCACGGACACGAGTCCATGGAGAAATTCAATTTTTATTTATTAAAAAAAAAAAGTCGGTTTTTTAAACGTAGTTATTTATATAGTAATTTATCAACCTTTCGAAATTAGACTGTAATACCATGAATGAGATCCAAGTGGATTAAGGGACTCTTATCAATATCTACTAATAATAGTTGTAGTTATTTCTTTTTGTTCATTATTATTTTAATGATTGGTTACGTCCCTTTTCGTTAACCTATTTTTCTGTATTCTTAGTGTAAGGATTTCATGCAAGTGCGGGAAGGCCATTCCTTCCCATTGCACAAAATCTTAAAAAGAAATAGTTTTGCTATGCAATAATGTAACGTATGCCCATAAAAATTAGTTTGCAATTCAAATAAAAAAAAATTAAACTTCCCGCCTCACAACAATCTGGATGTGACCTACAAACCCTCGTTCAATGTCGAACTTATCAATCCACTAGAGCGAGACGGCGTTATATTTTATATCTGTTTCTTTCACACAACTTGATCGGTCTTCGTCTATTTTCGGGCGGGCCACTCGTTTCGCTCATTCGATATCGGACGCACTCGTTCATTCACGGCGCATGGCAACTTTCTTCGACCGCTAGTACGCATGCGCGAATCGTGTCAAACGGTGACGGTGCGGCTCTCTCCAACCTAACCTCTCACTTTTATTTATTGTGAAAACAACAAATTAATTTGTAAAAATGCAAACCGATTTTTATGGAATGCCCGTACATCCTACGATTGTGGCTTTAGGCAATTTGTCTGCGTGTTTATTTTTTTTCTATATCTGTTGTAAAGCGTTTTTGGTTCCGTTCTATACATACGTGATTGCTCCTAAGTTTCATCGAGTGAATTTTAAAGCATACGGAAAATGGGCATGTAAGTACTTTTGATACTTATTTTATCTATTTATAATGCTCTATTAAAATTGTGGAATGTAAATTATGATTGATTAGTTTGCTTCCGAACTCGGAAGGCCGGTCGCTGACCTTTATTCGGAAGTTCAATGCAGGGCGTTGCATTTTCAATCGATCGGCTTGATCTGCACGGAATTATGATTATTAAATATTATATTCAAACTACATGTGAAAGCGAGTATTATTACCTGTAAAATAATTCATATTATTTATTAAAAAAAATAAATTTTAGTTTGCGAACCTACTTTCGTGTTCACTTTCTTTTTTCCTTCATATAAGGTCATCGATTTTGCGTGAGGTGCCATAACTATGAGTTGAGGACGGTCAAGTGGGAATTGGATAATATTTTATGGCGTATGAGGGCAAAACAGCAAAGAGTTCATCTGATGGTGCACCACCGTTTTTGGACATCCACAACACCAACGGTTACAAGTGCGTTGCCAGTATTTTAGGCATTTTTTAGGAATCATTTTCATATTATTGTGGAATAATGGTTGTTAAACGATTCTATCCAAAATTGTATTCTAGTATTCTTTAGTCACGGCGCGCGGAGTATTTAACAGGTTACCGGGTGTCCATGGGCGGTGTTAATCGCTTATAATCAAGTGATCCTACTGTTTGTTTGGCCCCCATTTCATAAAAATCGTGGTTTTTTCGACAAATAATAGGCGTAAAACTAAAGCTATCGCTATCCGTTTATCTTAAGAGTAACTAGTTACGTTTGTTTTGAACCGAAAAACTATAAAAAAAAAAAAAAAACAAGTTCTTGTGCTAGAACCGTTGAATGTTTTTTACGTAAATATTTTTAATCTCTTTATAGGTGTAATATACATATTTATACATTATTAATAAAGGTTTTTATGCGTAGAATTACTAGTTATTGTTATGGTCTGACTAGTTTGTTGAATGTTCGCGAACACGAGTATTATTATTCAGCCCTATATAAAGACAATCATGTGGGGCAAAATGTTAGGACGTTTTTCTTTAGTCAATTACTTTGATCCTTAACTATAACCCAATACAATTAAAAATCTATTGACAGACACAGATTAGTTATAGTATTTTTCATTTCATTTCATATTGTACCGTCTATCTTTGCGTTCAAATAATAAAACATTTGTAAGAAAAATAATAACCTTACTTTGAATTAGAAATTCGTAAGCATTCATTACGTAGTGTCTACATATACTTGATTATAATTAGCATATAATTATTTACACCTTTGTATACTATTTCGAAGATATTCGATGACTTGACGGTTTTGATTGTGATCGTTGAGCGAAGGTGACATTTCGGTTGTGTTTTCAGTTCGTGCAATATTGTGTTGGTATTGCAATTTGCAGTTTTCTGTCTGACTTTGAACTTTGTTATGTATGATTATTTGATCACGATGAATCATTCTAACTACCCATATTTATGTTACGTCAAAGAATTAGGAAAATGTAGTGTATGTTTAATATGTAGTTATCTACATTTTTTATGACATAAGCCGGTGAACAGGCAAACGTGTCACCTGATGGTAAGCAATCATCGACACCTGGAACTCCAGATGCGTTACATGTGCGTTACCGGCCTTTTGGGGATTAGGAATTTGAGGATTGTTGGAGATTCCATCTGGTATCCCCAATCTCCCCAGATTGAGAAGAGGAAGGGTAATTGAAACACCAAGGAAGCGTTATTTCACGTCGGTTTTCTGTGAGGCCGTGGCATCACTCCGGTCGAGCCGGCCCATTCGTGCCGAAGCATGGCCCTCTCACACATATCTATTTAAAAATTTAAATGTTAGCGATCTAATCAGGAAAATATTCTAGTTTTTGTTTACTAACTTTAAACTATTATTCAGTGTTTTACGGAGTCTAAAACTATACCCAATTAAGTAGTTAGGTACAAAAGTTTTCCAAAAAAACAATATTGTGCTTGATTTTTTAATACTCGGCAATTGAGCCCAGAATCACATGCTCAATGCTTAGTAGTGTTACATAATTATTAGATCAATAATATTAGGGTCATGTGAAAATAGAAATTGACGGACTGCCTCATTGGCCGAGTGGTCGCAAGTGCGACTGCCGGGCAAGGGGTCTCGGGATCGTCCCCCCCTATTACATGGGACCCATAACATAAATTGTGAAAAGTGGGTGTTACATTGTACAGTGGCATAATGTGCACCTCTGCCTACCTTTAAAGATAAAAGGCGTGATGTTTTGTTATGTATGTGAAAATAGGGTTACCCAGTACACACAATGCTGTAAACAATACCTTCTTACCATATTGTTAATTAGACACTTTAATTATGAAATACTGACCTAATCTAGTTACAAAAGTACTTTCACATGTAACTGCTCTAGTGGTCCGGGTGTCAACGGGTGGTATCGATTGCTTACCATCAGGTGATCCGTCTGCTCGCTTGACGGCCGTGCCCATAAAAAACACGTACCGTCTTCATCACCTTGGAACTGTCCAAATGCTGGGCAATGAACTCTTCTCACATAGAGATGGACATAACATAACATCACGTCATAACAGCCTTTTATACCGGATTTTTTTTTTTTTTTTTTTTTTTTTAAGGGGGGAAAATCATCGAATGACTGCCCCCGCCTGGGTGAGGCGGGAGGGAGTGTCAGACTCTTACTGACTAAAAACCACCCCGTTCCTTCTCCTGCACGTCGAGCCGGAGCCCCGGTTACCCGTTAGGTTCTCCGCGACTCCGAATCGGCATCGGCCTGATTGTCTATGTGCACATCATGGCTGCCATCGACAATCTTGTACTTATAATTGCCGTGAGGCCAAGCCTTTTCATCCATAATAAATGGTACGGGTTCGTAAACACCTACTTCTATCATTTTCTTAGCCAATACACAAAATGTTGGCGTGGTCGTAGTAGTATATATTTTTTCTAACATTTCACCGGAAAAGGGGAATACTGATACTTCTTTCATTCGCTGGTCAAATGTGAATCTGGAAGAAGAAATAGCATAATATAACATCACGCCTTTTTATCCCCCAAGGTGTAGGCAGAGGTGCACATTTCGGCACTTAATGCCACTGTACAATATAACACCCACTTTTCACTATTTATGTTATGAGTCCCATGTAATAAGGGGTGAGCCTATTGCCATATACCGGGCACATTTCCAAACTCCGTGCTACTACTGAGATTTTTAAAAAACCCAGAAATACTTTGCCCGACCCGGGAATCGAACCCGAGACCTCTTGCCTGGAAGTCGCACTTGCGACCACTCAGCCAATGAGGCAGTCAGAAGAAATAGTTTTGATATAAACAGGTGAAATGCTTCCAACTGGCCTATCTGGAGGAGAGGGATCTTGGATCTTGGATCTAGGGATCTTGGGAAGGCCTATGTTGAGCAATGGACGTCTAGTGGCTGATACAATGAAAATATGGTATGCTTCATGCTCATTCCAAACATATTTATATCCAGATGAATGAGAAAATAAATTAATCTGTTTTTTATACTATATTTGATGGGCCGACGTTTGACCATTATCTCGCCTGGTGGTAAGCGATGATGCGGTCTACGATGGAGCACGTCTGCCCATAAGCAACCTATTCACTCGGGCCTTGAAGACACCCAGGTTATTATACCCTTCAAAAACACAGACACTGGCCAAGAATTCCACTCCTCAGCAGTACGTACAAGGAAGCTTAATGCTAGTATAGTAAAGCAAAAAAATTCGAACGTTATAGATACCTGTATAGACCATCGCCTGCAGGAATCAGGCATCGCTCCAGGATATGCTCCGTCGCCTCTTTAGATAAGCCTCGTGTATGCATCATCAGCTGTTGTGCCTGGAATCAAACACCATTTGTCAAACTTTTAATCCCATAAACATAACATAACATCAGGCCTTTTACCCCCGAAGGGGTAGGCAGAGGTACACATTATGCCACTGTACAATGTAACACCCACTTTTCACTATTTATGTTATGAGTCCCATGTAATAGGGGGTGAGCCTATTGTCATACATCGGAAATATTCCAGGCTCCGTGCTACCACTGAGATTTTTTTTTAAACCCAGAAATATTTTGCTCGACCCGGGTATGGAAACCGAGACCCCTTGCCCGGCAGTCGCAATCGCGACCACTCGGCCAACGAGGCAGTTATTCCCATAAACGCTTGAGAATTTATCGAAAACTGAAAATAACCCAGTCCTCAATAATATGTTGTTCAACTCAAGAGTCGAACCCGAGATCCCTTACTCGACATTTGCACACGGCACATAGCTAGGACCATTCATGGCGAACCATGTCTCATTCATTTTTTTTTAATGGAATAGGAGGCAAACGATTAGTCGGATCTCCTGATGGTAAGCACTAAGCGCCGCCCATGGACACCCACAACACCAGAGGAGTCACAAGTGCGTTGCCGGCCTTATTCATTGGCTCTCCCATGTTGTTTTGAACCCCTTACCTTTTCATAACTATATTTCGGCGCAGTCTCCAAACCACTATTGAATTTTTGGAACCTATCATCATTATACATCAAGTAGTACGAGTGGTACCAATCGTGGAGGCCTTCTCGAGTGAACGGCCACGTATGGTGCGCTGGTATAGGGTCCAGCTCGACTACGCGCGTTATGTGGCCTGGATAGGCTATGTTGAAGATTTTCCCTGAAAAAACAATATTATCTAGGTTCATGATACATACTAAATAAATTATTATGTTTTCGGCTTACTCACGTAATTATTTGACGAGTAACTCGACTCAGAGTAGTAGCGTGACAGTCGCCGCGTCGCGGGTCGCGAAATGCTGCTCATGAAGCCTCTAACATGGCTTGAAACTAGTCGAGTTCCTTCTCAAATAATTACGTGAGTAAGTCGAAAACATAATAAATTATCTAGGTACAATAGATTTCACGGTTGGTGCATTGACTATTGTGCATAACATCACGCCTTTTATCCCCGAAGGGGTAGGCAGAGGTGTACCTACACTGAGGTAACACCCA